GAAATGTGTGCATATAAAGACTTTAGGAGCCTTGGAAAAAATTCTACCATTCAGAAAAAGGTCACAAAAAACTCCAACCAAAACCCCAGTGTACTTAATAATGAAATGCATATAAAGTGTTTATGTTCCCTTAAAAAAGTTTGGTTTTTCAACATGGTTTTTATTTGTATAATTATATGCACATGCTGTATATATGTATATAAACATGCACACATATATTTGTGTTTCTCTAGGGAGAGAGGAAGGGATGGAAGGAAAGAGAGGGTCCTCGTTAAATGGAGATTTACAGTGTAAACTATCATCTTCCCCATTGTATGTGCTAGCCATAAAAAGTACCAGAGGGAAGGAAATAAACAATGTAGGCATTGTAGAAAAGTGAAATTACTTTTTCCAAAGTAAACTTATTTAAAATTAACACAGTTATTAAATTGAAGCCTTTTTGCAAATTGCCTTTATTCTGGGAATCTTTACTATTTTCCATTTAGCAAACCCTTATCTATAAGGGCCTGCCAATAACTTCTGCATAAACATCCAAGTCTCTACATTCTTAAACTTTATGACAGTTAAAAAGCAATTTTATGAATATTTATGAAGGCAGTAAATTATTAAAATAAATATAGATATTTACACAGTAGAACAACATCTTCATTTAATGGATGTGGAAAAAATGTTAATATGTGAACATTTTAAAGATGAAGTGGTTTGGCCTTCAGGGCTTTTGTTACTCTATTAAAAGTTAATTTAGGACAAAAATTATGGCTTTTTCACAAATTGCAACCCCTAAAGATTAAATCATGATCAAGACACACAACATTTTTCAAAAAATGAATCTGTTAATGACATTTCCAGAGGCTGGATATGGAAACCACTGTGCAGCTCTCCCTGAAAAAGCCTCCTCTGCTTGCTAACATGCTCAGAGCAGTTGCACACACTCAGATGTGCTCTAGGCCACAGGAGCTGGGTGCTGTCAAGGTGCTTTTGCCAATTTTTCTGCCACCACACATTTTACACTATTAGAATATGTTGTCTACAAACACAGTGGGCAACTCAAGGTGCTCTTTCTCAAGAAGATGCTCTACACCACATGAGTGATTTGCTTTATCACTGGAAATAAACTTGGCCATCTTTTACCAGCCACATTTATGGATCCTCCTGGTTCAAGGCCATGAGTCTGCTCTGACCTCCTGGGACTGGCTACTCAACCTCACCAGTGGCCCCAATAACCCGAGTTCCACCAAAACACAAATTTTCCTTCTAGCCAGGACACCAGGAGACAGTCACCTTCAACCTCAAGGTGTGAGAAAATGTGAGAAAACCAGTGCTCTTTCTATGGCAATACCCTCCAGAAGTTGTGTCTCACTTCTCTTCTACATCTGTCTCATTTCAGCTCCCTGCTTAAGAAAATTTCCCTTCTTCCTTAATTCAGCTCCTTCTTTATTCAGCAACAACCCAGATCTTACAAGTGCCTCAGACTAGTCACAAGATTCCCTTCAGGAGCTGTTGAAACAGTTTGAATTTTTTCCTTCTGTCAGTTTTTCAGCACTGTGAATTATTCTGGCTAATGAGACCAAAAGGACTTGGCCATGCCAAGCTCTCTGTCACATGAGTGTTCCCCAGTGCCCCACAGCTCAGTCCACTGCCTCAGTCTGCCTTGCTGTAGGAAATTGCCATTCCAGGTGCTGGGTGTAGTAAATTCCTGAACCTTTCAGCTGCATTTGAAAGGGATTCTGCCTTTGCAATACTCTTACTTGCTCCTTGAAATGTTTCTACCATTCCTTTCCCCCCATTTTGTATATTAATTTTACAATAGAGTCTTGCTCACTAACTGATCTGAGTGCCTAACAATGGTAAAACCCCCTTCTCAAACCCCTGCTCCACTCTGACATATATATATAGAGATATATATATAGATATGTAGATATCTATCTATAACTATATATAGATACATATATAGATAGCTATATCTGTCTATATCTATATCTATATCTAGATATAAAATATGTAACACTTTTTAGATATATATATATATTATAATCACAGCAATGTAAACTACTTCGTTTGTTACTTTGTTTTGGGTTTTTTTTGCCCCCAGATCTCTTGTTGATACCCTGCTATAAAGGTAGGGTCCATGTTCTTTCTCTTTATAGCTGTAATTTATGATGTGGCAGAGGTAACACATTCTTTGTTTGAAAAGGTCCAGCTAAAGGGATCAGGATGTGTCTCCATGGCTCTGGGCAGGTGCTCACTGCCATGGCTGCTGCCCCTCTCACCCTGACCAGAAACCACATTGTGATCCAGTGGAACAGAAATACAACACTCCCAGTGCAATCTGAAAATCATATCCAATTACAAAAATAACTCCAGGTCAGATTTCTGCAAATCTTGTTCTTACAAAGCAGCTTAAATTTATGAACCCTACGAAATTTAATCAGAATTACTCATGTTTAAGACTAAACTGAATATTTTAACAGCACATTAACTTCAGGCTTTTCTGCACACTCTAGATTCCCTGTACATTCCAATTTCAAATTACTCCAAGCTCTGAACTCTGTTGTTTTCAGTGTCTAAAGATATGAGAGATGGGCACAGGCTGAAAGACTGCAAGTAGAAGCCCCAAATTATTTTCAATCTTAATCCTCCCCCAGTTTTGTTCCTTATCCAAGCTCTATAAAGTAAATCTATACTGCAAAAGTACTGTCATTTATACAACTATTTTTCCAAATATTCAAATTTCCATCATTTGGACTTATTTCTGTAAATTAGCCCTTTGATCATGAAGCTCATTTTTACCAGCACATCCTTTCTCTTAATGTGATGTAAAGACAAAAGAAATGTTGTTCAGTTTTCATGGTGATTTTTTTCTGCCAGCAGTAGTTTATTATTTCTTTCAGGTTTTTTCCAAAGGACTCAGTATAGAGAGAAAGAACACTCCAATTTTTTTACAAGGCAAATGAAATACACAAAAGTGGAAAACAGAAAAAAACCCAAAACACATGAAAAACAGCAATAAAGAGAGAAAGACAAAAAGCATAACTGTGCAAGGGAGATACAATTGAAAAATAGAGACATAATTAGAAACTGTTATGAAGATGGAACCTCAGTGCAGGGTCTACAATAATAATACTCAAATCTAGAGTGAGATACTTGCATAAAATAAAGTAATAATAATGAAAAATTACAGGAAATTAACACATGAAAAATAGAAGTTAAATACAAAAAGTGGAAAGAAACCCACTAAGTATATATGTATATATAGCCACAGCTCTCTTATGAACTAGTGCTCTGTTTTAATGCGATGTAAAACCAAGCACATGGAAAGCAGAGATAAGGAAAATATAGGGAGAGAGAAATATCTGCTGAAACAGAAATGTGAGACTCAGTAAGTACAGAAACATAAACATTAGGGGAGAAAAAAGATACAAAGAGTGGATTCAGCAGAGAGATACTGGGCCCATTTAAACCAGCAGGATTTGCAGTTTAAGGCAGTATTTCACATCAAATATTCCTTAGGAAAGGAGAATCTACTTCTGATAATCTTTCTACACCTTTTCTCATAGTTACGAGCAAAGTAAAGCGTACAATTACTTCACTGCCAAAAAGACACAAATTATATTCTAAAAAGGGGTAGTTTACAGCCTCAAGAAAAAGGGCAAACTTTCTGCCTGTGTGTGAGGAGAATGTGGAAAGTAGGTTTGGGTGGTTGTAATTTTACCTCAGAGCCTGAGCACACCTTTGGAGTCAATGTCCTGATCACACCACACTTTGGTTTGTGCTGGGTAACAGACTCTGAATGTGCAGAACTGATTCTTTTGGAGCACCAGAAATGTAACCAATGTACCTCAGCCATTAAACAGCACAAATTTGGCACCAGGCTACAGCCAACCCACAAAAAGCTCCTGAGATGTGCCTTGTCCTCAGCACCTCCTGATTTTCCCTCCTCCTTCAGGCTGCCCAGTTTGGTAATTCAGACACAGTGAGTGTTCACAGGAACACGAATTGGTAAAAACTCCATCTCACAGACAGTGCTGTTACAGCAAACTTTACATCTTTATCAAATCCCTGCTTTATGAGCCCTGATTGCTGTTTCATTGGCTTTGTCAGCAGTGAAATGCAGGATCAGATCTATTGCTGGAAATGATGGGCAACAACCGAGTCCCAGCAATGACAACTGACCTTTCATGGGCATAATTAAATTGCATCTAAATAATTTAAATAAACAGCTAAAGCTACTCAGTTGAAAATGGCATTTTTATTGAGACAAATCTTATTCCTATAGAAAAAACATTAAGTGGTTATTTTCTGAATCTCTGTTGAAGTCCTGGCTGTGCTTTCTGTGGCCAACAGAGCAGGTCCCGATTTACTTAATTGCAAGATCTGGAGTCACTGCTCTTTTATAATTGCTTTTGTGAATTGGGAATGAATTGTTTAAGCATTTACTGAGCTACTATACTTTCTGTATTTTGTGAAAGTCAAACCAGCGTTTTTGTTTATAAGATATTTGCAACAGAAGGCAGTTACTGGACGTTTAGAGTTTAAATGTGGTTTATATGTTGAGTCTGTTATGTTTGGTGCAAAAGTGGATTAGTGAGCTCCTGCTCTGTGCTGTCTCAGAGCTGGAGCTGATGGATACACATGCACCCATGTACACCCTGCCCAGACACAATCCCTTCTGCTTTATTATTTCTTTCACTGATTTCTTTGTTTGTCAAAAGGCTTCTAGTAGACCCAGAGAAAATACAGCAGAGTACTGGGGCACTGCAAGATAAGCAGCAAAATAAACAACTCTAACACATAAAAGGGACTGCAGAGTGACAATGGTGAGTATTGAGGAAGAATGTGAATGTCAGTAAGTGCTGACTCATTGGGGAAAAATGGGAAACTCTCTGTTTTAGTATTTTGAAACTGGAAAAGAACCAAAACAAACGAAAACAAACCAACAAAAACAAACAAACAAAAAACAAAACCCTCCAAATGAATAATTCAGCTGATGTGTAACTAACCTTATAAAGCAGAGGTGATTGTCCCAGCTTCAAAAGTGCAATTTTTTTGGTCACGTTTGTGGTGGCTTGAACCCGGATCAGGTCTTCCATGGTCCCATACTGGACATCAACAAGCTCTGCCTGCAAAGAGGAGACAAAATTCAGGCTGCAGCCACAACCACACATCACTGAGGGTGCTCCTGGCACAGAAACAAAGTTGTTTGCACAAGCACCTGAGCAGAGTCCTGCAATTGCCTCACCCCAACTTCTACTCAGCAACATCTGTGATAGCAAAGACCTTGAAAGTTCACTCTGACTGATAAGTTTTTTGCTGTTTTAATTCACAATTCATCAGCTATGATAAACTACCCCCCTCATGTTTTTCCCCAGTTGTTATAAGAGATGTTGATTCTGATGAGGATTTCCCCTCATTAGCTATAGAATTCATTTAAAACTGTGTAAGAGATACTAATTAACTTCTGTTTATTTTCTTAAAAATTATCAGTCTTGTAAAGTATTTCAGGAAACGATTATACTGGTCACTTCTGAAAATACACAGATAACACAAACTCCACCAATACACAGTTTTATCTTGTGGTGTCACATAACTCCTGAGCAATCTCACCTAACTATTGAAGTATTTTCTTTTAATCCATCCGTTATCCAAGCATTATACTCAGATAACTACAGTGATAACAGACTGTGCTCTAATGGGTATACTTTTATATTAATATATTTAGTTTCAATTTATTGAGAGTCACTTTGATCTAAAAGTGTTTAGAACATGAAGATCTTCAGCTCTTCAGTTAGGACTCTGCAAGAAAATATAGTACAAGCTCTAAGTTATTATTAAATGTCAAACAGTGGCAGTAATGGAAAAATATTTCAAGATGAGATTTCAAGTATTTTTTTAAATATATAATTTAAGAATGACCAAGGGCATTTTTTCCTCACACATTTGTAGCAATAAATTCTGGTGAAAAAAAAGTAAGAGGATAATCAGCCTTGTACATTACTATTTTAGAACGTTATGAAGCTCTCAGGACATCATTGAGGATATTCTGGAACCACTAAATCCCTACACAGTGCTCACATAAAACAAAAGTACAAGAAGACTCAAGAATATTACATCAGTGTTGAAAAATTAAAATAAGAGGAGCAGTACAAGATGGAAAAGTTTTCTCTTTCAGTTCAGTTTTGTAACTTAAGTATGGATTCATTGCCAAAGGCAACAGTTCTGATTTTGGGTATCCCTACACAAACTGTTTAAATTCTAGCAACAGTTGTTCTGGATGTGTAGGATGTGTGAAATTTTAGTAGATTCCTGAACATGGGTATTTTAGGGAAGTATTTACCCTTAAAAAAACTGTATCTGTGTGAGTTTGCATCTCAACATTCAAGCTGAAACCATACAAAAACTTTGCCAAGGTTCCTGTCTAATTAAATTCTTCTGAATTCCTCAGATAAGTTTCCAAGTCTGTAACATGTCATCAGTGCTGTACAAACCAAGTATATGGAAAGGCCAGCCAGAGTTATAAAAGACTTCTGAAGAGGCAAACGTCAGATTTAACACCAAATAATGAAATGTAGAACAGAAAAGCTCGCACTTCACACTGTTTCTTCTGAAATGTATGGGGATTTGATAGCTAAAGAACTAGAAAACTATTTAGCCAGTATAATTTTTTTTTCCTGTATGGCCACAGTATTTGAAAAGTAGGATAAATTAAAGTGAAGATTTCATAGTAGGGGAAAGTATTTTATGTTTATTTAATCTCATGCCTCCAGTTTTAAAGCATTAACCTCAGATGGGGAAAGGGTATTTACCAGGGTGCTTCAGTGCATAACATTTTTTACCTCTTTCTGTAGCTCTCAACTTTATTTTAATTTGTACCTACACATATGTCATTAGATACAAAAATTAGTAGTTTATGGGAGGTTATATCTAGGTTGATTTCTAGGTCTACCTCTATCTAATTCCTTTGGACCCAATGCCTTCCTTACCCATCCTCCAAAGCAGGAATCAGGGCTGCCACACAGACTTTTCCTGAGGCAAAATCAATACCCAAATATGTAAGATAATGAAGTGTCAGGCTATCTGCTTCTCCAGGATGCCTGTGTGGAAATGAGCTCCCTGCCCATCTACATTCATGTGCTGCTTCTCTGCACATCCCTTTGGCTCACTGCTTCTCCAGGGGGCCATCCACTGCTCTGTCAACAACAAAACTACATGTTTGCACAATTATTAATGCGTTTAGCAACTGCCCTTGGATGTTCTTAGTTAATTTATGGATGCAAACTGCATCTTCAAGAGCAGCTCACTGGCTTTACCCAGGCAAGACGTGCTCAACGAGAGAGAGGCAGAACAGGAGGCCCTGCAAAAGCACAGCTCATTTTTTAATTATGTGGAAAACAGAAGTTGACTCCCTGCTGCCCCAAACACTCTGCAAACCATGTGCTTTGCTTCAAATTGTAAAAGTTAGCCTCAATGCCAAAGCTATTATGTATATTCAAATGTTGAGAGCACGTGTAAGAAATTGCATAATGGAGGAGCAGCTGGGTGTAATTTAACAGAGTTTTGTGGGCTTCCACCACACATCTTTCACATGAAATGCAGATCTGTCAAAGCTCAAAGGTTATCACATTCTGGAAACAGCATGTATAGCCTAGCACCCAGAGGTCTGCACAGCTTGTATCACCTCCACCTCCAGCTAAAATGACAAACAAAAATTGAATTAAATCTTCTCTTGAGTAAAACTACACATGGCTCATCTCTGGCCAAATGAAGCCAATAATTCACTGGAAGAGTTTAGAACAAAGACATAACATTTTGGCAATACAATCCAGAAAGTAATAGTACACACTAAATTATGAAAACAGTTATACAAATTATTCTTACCCCTTCCTCTATTCTGCACCTGAACACTTAAGTTAAATTTGTAATAAAAAGCAAAATAGTTTGCAGTATTAATGAAATCTCATCAAATACAGTACAGCAACACTAGCTCAGATCAGTCAGTTTTGGTTTTATTTAGTGGACTGGGGCTCAACTAATTGGGACCCTTACTTCTAATATAAAATAAAATATTGAAGAAATACAACCTCAAAATAATGGTGAAGAATCCTACTGAATCCAGACCTTCTACCTTCTTCATACTGCACTCAGAAGCTGACAGACCATTTATGATGCATGAAGGCCTGTTTTAGTCACAACATTCCTAATACCTCCAAAAATGAATAAAGATTAAATTTCCTATTATTTCTCTTTTCTGTTTTTAGAAACGCTTACACCATGACATAATCCTCATTTTATACATACCAGCTTTTTTGAAATGCTAAACACCCCACCCCCAACTACTCATATTTGATAAACTGCTTTCCTGTGGTAGGATAATTCTGTCCAAAAACAAAAGAGAACTCATCCTTTTATCAGGTGCTGAAAAAGAGCACTTGTCTACTTGGTTTAGCTATGCCACAGTAAATCCTCTTACCCTAAAACTGGGAAGCTGCTAAAGAATGAGTTGTTTTATCCATCTGAATTAGGTACTTACTCCTTGAATCGTTTCAAGCTATGCTGTTTGAAAGATATAACTATTTAGGAACAAATTGTAATGTGCATTGTGGAGTTCAGTAGTATTCCCCCATGCATGAAATGAAGTAGGGGTAGGTAATAAAACAAACATTTTTAGGAAAAGTAATTATTTTATGTTAGACGACTTATTAGTTTCTAAGTCCCGAGATGATGCTCAGTGAGCTGTAAACATTCTATCTTAAAAATTCTAACAGAATCCCCCTAAAACAGAAAGGACAAACACTCTGAAAATGCCACAATCAAGACAGTCATGGATTTTTATCCTAATTTCTTCTACTTATCTCCAAAATGAAACAGAATAAAAGACTATACTTCATCTTGTCATGGATGGCACAGAGGAAAATAGGTCTTGCAAAGGAAAACTATGAATAACTATATGAAGCAGGTGGCAGCTGGGGTCTTGAAGATGCTGGATACTATTTTTAAACCTTGCTTTCCTGTAAATTCTGAGGCAATTAAAAAAATAAGATAAATAGGTTGAAAATAATAACAGAAATATGTTTGTCTTATCACATTCTCATCAGTCTACTTGACTGAGGAGAAGGATTTAATAACAGCATTATACATCTGTATCCAACACACTGCCTGAGAGGAAGATTGTGGCTGATTTGCCAGAGGCACACAAGGCAGCAAAAAGACTCAGGGAAGAAACTACTGAGGGAAAAACATAAAAAACCAAACCAACCAACCAACAAACAAACAAACAAACAAACAAACAAACAAACAAAAAAAACCAAACAAAAAAACAAAAAAACAACAAAAAAAACCCCAAACCAAAACAAAAAAAACAAAACCAAGAAAAAACACAAAAGAAAACCAAACAAAAAACCCAACACAAAGCTCAAAGGTGGCACACCCAGCAAGGGATATTTCTCACAACCACTAAAATGAGGATGCATTATCTGCACTGCAGTCAGTGCAGATAAGAAAGCAGCTTTTAAACTGAGCCCTTAAAAGCTTGGCAGAAAACAAACCCCAAGCAGCACAAAGAATGGCTGTGGTGAAAAGTCTTCTCTTCATACTACCTGTCAGTCGTGCCACACTGCAGTAACTTCAAATGATTAATATATTTTATCAAATACCGAGTTCCTGACCCATATTAATGAATGGATTCTGCACAAACTGTTGGGGAACTCAGGACTGTGGAAGCTGCAGGTATGAAAATGACACGGTCAAGCTCATATTCCTCCTATTTTCATATTCACAGTTCCTGCTTACTCACTAAAACGTTTCAGAAATACATTCCCTAAGGAAACCCCAAGTATTGAAGAAAACTAAATATTTAATATTAGTAAATATTGTTCATTCCTTAGAATTAAGACAATTTCTCCAAAAAGCACACATGCAATTCCAGAAGCCTCAACCCTCAGTTCTGTGACTGTTCAGAATTACTACATCCCCTTCTTCCATCCAGGCCAATGCCCTTCATTTGTCCTTCAACGTTCAGCCACTATTTTCAGGTTGTTCACAAAATAAAGGCAGCAGAAACATCCCATGCACAATCAATCACAATTAAATAACCTTCAACTAGTCATCCTGCCTAAAATAAAAC